ATGAAATGCACCCGCGGTCCACGACACATTTTATTTAACGTTGTTGAGAATTGAAGTTGGGTCACATGAATGCACACCCGAGTTTAAGGAAATTAATTTAAATAGCGCGCCTTAAGAAACTACGCACTTTCAAGTTTGCGAGGGCCATGGAAAATTTAATTGATGGCACACCCCGATTTTAAAAGAGTTAGTGTTAATTACATGAGGGCCATGGGTTACTTAATGAAAATGGCACACCTCCAATTGTCTATAAAAGCTAGCTAGTTTTGTGAGGGCCATGGGCTTAGGAGTTTTATTTGGCATGTCACACCTCAAATTATTCCAAAGGGTTTTATTATTCGAAGTTGTTATAATCGGGTTACGTGAAATGCACCCCCGAATTTGGAAATTGTGTGTCACAACTACGTCACGGAAACCGTACCCGTAGCTATGACACTTTATTTAATTAACGCGCCTAAAGCAAACTAGGATATTTATACCCCCACTCAATTCGTAAGCCCAAACGTTTTCATGACCAATTAGTATCCTTAGGCTCAAACAAACGCATCGATAGAATGGAGACATTAAAGGCGATAGCAGAAGATATGGCATCGTCAGCTTGTGTTGTAACTCATTTTTTCTACAAGCCTAATTTATTCCTTTTCTGTTCCACCCTTAACAACTTCAAGACATTTACAGTAAATGCATATAAAGGAACTACCAAATAAAAGGGAAGAAATGAACAAAAGAAGCAAACAAATAAAATAAACAATTAGATTTCAGAATATCCTAAAGCAGTACTACAATATTATCATATATGTATTTGTCTATCATTGAAAAGGTGCTTAAACATATAAGAGATGAAAGGTCCAAAATTCATTCACCTTCAGACATGAATGCAAAAAGAATTTGCAAATCAATCATCCTCAAATCAAAACAATAAAAAAACTTAATCCAAACAGTTCATACATCAGAGAGTGATAAATTAACGAAAATACACTTAAGCCAAACAGAGTATCAAAAATGAGGAACCAAATCTCAAAATGGATCAGCACATTACTTATGAGGCAACGTTAAACTCAGATACGACAAACCATGGACGGAGTTGAAACAGAATCCATGAACAACGACCACGGAGAACCTTGAAGCTCGCCGGAGAACTCGAAAACGGACAGAACTTGACTGGGTGAAAAACAGGGCAGAAGCGGGCTGTCTAGGTTGGTTTTCCTGGCTGTGTTACTGCGTTTGTTGATCTGGTTGGAGAAGAAGATGGAGAAGGGTCAGCTATGGGTGTTTTCCTGCGTTAGACTGCTGGAAGCGGTTAATGAAATGAAGAAGAAGATCGAACGAGGGGGTCGTTTGGAGCTTTACGGCGCTGCCTCTTTCTTTTGGCTGTTGATTTTCGTTTTTAATGAGGAAGAAAATAGGAGTCAGATGGGGTCTGTTGGGTTGAAGAACGGTGGATCCCTGTGTTCAAACATGGCTGAAGCTCTTCGCTGGGGATTGCTGAAGAAGACGACCGGTGGGGGGTGGGGTCTTGTGAAAAACGGCGCTTGGCAGCTTTTGGTTTTGTATATTTTTGTATAAAACGGCAGAAGGCTTAGAGTGTCTCCGTCAATTTAGGGATTAGGTACTATTATATAGGGTAGGTATTAGGTTAGGGGTATGTGCCTAGAAATTATGGGCTTGGGAATTATGGGCTAGGTCCAAAACTAAGCCTAAAAATGGGTTGCTCGAGCCCAAGTTTTATTCTTTCCCCGTGAACGGGACTAAAATACGACCTCATTTATTAATTAGTCTTACTTAAATAAAATAACTGTTAAAATAAGACTGACCATTAAAACAAAACTATTTTTGGTATTTTTCAAGATTATAAATGACTACAACACATTAATGAAACTATTTTTTTGTAATTTTTATTTTCTTGTAATAAAATAAAGTAAAAGAGTCAAAATTAATTAAAATAGCTCTATTAGGCCTAAATTAAATATTTACATGCTAAAATATGAAAAATCTTGGGGAGGGTCAAAAATCACATGTCTACACTTTCTCATTTTAAAACCATATTACAAGCCTTTACCCGTTCTATCGTGACCCTCTCTTGGCACCCGAGATTTTCTTAACACTCATGTGAAACAAATGGCTAAAATTGTAAGTTTGGCGGGAGAGGAGGAAATTTAAAAAGGTATGAAGGCACAAAAAGAGAAAAGAAATGATGAGAAGGAAAGGCACGAAAAGAAAAGAAAAGAACAAAGAGAAAAATGTGAAAAAGTGAATTAGTGGAAGAGTGGAACGGATTCAAAGAGAGGTAATGATCCTAAACATGGATAAATATGAATGTAATGATCTAAGAAAGAGTGATGTTAAGTCTCTCTAGTCTCCCAAGAAAAAGAAAGTGCCTCAAGGAATTGGCAAAGCGCGAGCCGAGACATGAAAGATGGAGTGCTTAAGGAAGGTGTAACCACTTACCCATATTGTATCAAACCCTAGTCCAAAAGCCTTCATTACATCCCGAAAGAAGTCCTACTTGATTTTGAGCCGAGTGAGCTTACATTAATGGTGATCTACATGAGGCGCAAGCCTATGGTACTTGAAGCCGTACTTGTGACATTCTCTTGAAAGAGATGAGTGAGCCTTTCATAAATCTTTGAATTGAGTGCTAAATTCTTAAGTGATCTTGGAAAATGGAAATTAGAGGAGAACAAGTTTGGAGTCCACCATGACCTATAAGATAGAGCGAGAGTCCTTGATGAATAAAGTCAACTCTTGAAGCTCGAATGACACATTAGAACTATATGTGCATAAATGTTTAACTTGTCGCCTTGTTGATAATACATGAGTAGTGTGGGTAATTGTTAGGTCCCAACTTAGGTGTAAATGGCTCACCCGTGGCTAGCTGTAATGACCCTTAACTGCTGGAGGGGGAAACTAATTTATTTGCTTGAGGACAATCAAAGACTTAAGTTTGGGGGAGTTGATAAGTGGGGATTTTGACTGTTTATTAGTTCTTTTTAGATTTTGTTTTAGTCTAAAAGCATTGAATGATGTTCCCAAAACTGATGATATTGTGCAAAATTACAGGGATGATGGAAGTTGATCTTCCGAGATGAAATTTGACTCAAAAAGGAGTAGTTCGAAGCACAAGGAAATAAAAGGCACAGAAGCATAAATGTGCGATTCACAGAAGGAATTCTATCGCTACAGAAGAAACTACGGATTGTAGAATTCCATCTACGGCCGCAAAACAAGGGGAAGAATTTAGCAGACAATTGCGCAAAGTGCGAACATCACATGAATTGTACGGCCGCAAAGCTGGGCTAAGAGTCAGAGGTCAGAGAGTATGCAAAAAGACCAAGTCCAGGAGCCTCTGTGAATTGCAGACCGCACAAGAATTGTGCAGCCGCAGAAGAATGCCTTGCGGCGGCAGTCCTAATTGTACGGACCGCAGAAGAGTTGCCTTGCGGCTGCAGTCCAGATGTGTGAGGCCACAGAAGATTGCCTCGCCGCCGCAGTTCAGAAATGTTTGGCCGTAGAACTACTTTTCCTGCCAACTGAAGAAATCTGCAGACCACAGATGGAATTGTGCGGCCACAGAACCTCCCGAGGGGAATTTTTGTCAGAGATTTTCAGCCCTGTATAAATAGACGAGTTTCACAAATTATGTCATGTTTTGAACATATGAAGTTGCTGTAGCCGTTTTCTTTGCCCCTTTAGGAAGTTGCATTATTTTGGTGTTTTAACATTAGTTTTCATTATTTTAATCTTCCAATATGAGTTATTTAGTTTTTATCTCTATTTTCTGTAATTTCTGTTATGAGCAGCTAGACTTCTACTAGGGTTGTGACCCAACACTAGTGTGTAAACCTTATGGGTGATTAATTTAGTGCTTGTTTATGATTGGGTATTTATTATTTAGCTTAGTTCATGCTTCAATTGTAGAATTGATGGTTGCAAACATTGATTCATGCCTATTTGACTTAGTCTCTACTTTAGAAAGAGGGACCTAATCTAGGATAACTTAGCTAACAAGGAATTGGGTCAATTGAGAGATTGATTAACCCAGTTAAAGGGTTCAACCTAGAGATAGTAATAAGCTGACTTGAGCTCTTATCAACTGTTTTGGTAGATACCCATTTGGTCTTGAAAAAGCCAAATTGGGCATAACCACTCTCTGATTGAGAGGTATTGAGTGGGTAACGTAGAGTTGTGAGCTATAATACACCCCAATCGACTACACAAGCATTAACGTCTTTATCACATTAGGGGAACACCTAGGTTATGGTCATAGCCCTAGGACTTTAACCTCAAAAACAATTATCTCTAGTCTTCTGTCTTTAATTTGCAATCATTAGATTAACATTAGAATAGAAACAAAAATCTTGTTGTGGAAGTGCAATCTAGATAGCCCATATTCTTACGTCAAATATATACTCCTGGACCATCATAACTCCTAGTGGATTCGATTCCGACTCCTAGTTGGGTGTTTATTATTGCATACGATCGTTACATATCTCTATTGAGGTGTGCATTTGGACGTGATCAGTCTCTCCATGCACAAAATAAACAGGTAAGGGGAGAGGGAATCACCCTGCCAGATACCTCTAGTAGGTGTGAAGGGGTTGGTTTGATCCCCATTCACAAGGCCAGAGATGGAGAATGAGCTTACATAGGAAATGATGAGGTTAATCGTGCTAGTGCGGAAGTTGAAGGCATGGAGAGTGTATCGAATAAAGGACCATTCAATTTTGTCAAAAGCCTTCTCCAAGTCAATCTTTAAGATCATGTGGGGTATTTTGCTTATCATTTTCCCAAAGTGTGTGATGTATTCCTTGACAATGATGGCATTTTCAGAGGCTCTCCTGTTAGCGAGGAAGCTTGACTGGCTGAGACTAATTATGTGGACTAGGTATGGTTTGATTCTTTTGGCTAGGATTTTAGCCACAGTTTTGTAGGTAGTGTTGCATGGACCTACGGGCCTAAAGCTTTTTTAGCATGGAGGCTTGGGGGCATTTTGGAATTAATCAAATGAGGGTCTCATTCATATTGGGATGCATTGTTTCAGATGAGAAGCATTGTTTGCAGAATTGGATGACATTATTTCCCACAATGTCCCGGTGCTTCTGGTAAAAGAATGGATGTAGTTCATCAGGTCCTAGGGCTTTGAAGGGCTTGAATGAGAAAATGGCTCTTTTGATTTCACTATCTTTAAGGGGAAGAGCCATATTGGCTTTTTGCATAGTGGATAGTGATGGGTTCTGAGGGCCAGGAGTGGTAGTGAAGATAGGGTATTGAGTGTGTGAAGAAGTATAGAGATCCTTGAAAAAACTGACAATGGAGTCTTTGATTTCATGAGGTTCATGCTTCCAGTTCCCATGCTCATCTTTGAGGGAGAGGATTCTATTTCTCCTTCTTCTATTTAGAGTAGAGGTATGGAAGAATCCAGTGTTGGCATCCCCATCAGAGAGCCAGCTTATCCTAGCTTTCATTTTCCAGAAATCCTCTTCATTTTCAAGGATTAAGTATAATTCCTCGATTAGAGAGTTCTCCAAGTTTATGAGGAACTGAATAAATTGGTAGTTAGAAGATTTTTGGATGCTAGCAATCCTAGCCAACAATCTCTTTTTTTTTTTGGAATATGTTGCCAAAGGTATGCTTATTCCAATTGATGACATTATTTTTGAATCTTAGATATGAAGGGATTAAGGTGGAATGAGTTGGGAAGGAGTCCCGGATTAAAGCAGGGAAAGTTGGGTGACTGCACCATATGAAGTCGAATCTAAAGGGCTTGACACTAATTACGTGGGTGCTGTTATTGAGATTAACAAGGAGGGGCAGTGATCAGAGTGGTCCTAGCTAAATGGGTTACAGAAGCTTTAGGGAATTCATTTATCCAGCAATTGTTAGCAAAGCACCTATCAATTCTCTCTAGGATTAGGCTGGTCCTGGTTTTGTATCTCTTGTTAGACCAAGTATATTTACATCCTTTATAGCCTAGGTCAACTATTCTACACTGGTTAATACAATTCCAGAATAGGTTACTTCTGTTTATGTTAATGCAGTTACCCCCAAATTTGTCTCTTGCTTCCAATACTTACGTTAAAGTCCCCACCCACAAACCAACTATCATTTATGCAAGTAGAGATATCTATCAGGTTCTCCCAAAGGGTTTTCCTATCCTCTAGATAGTTGCTTGCATAAATAACCGAAAAAAACAAAGGGGGGTTGGAGGGTAATACCTTTACCATTGCATGGATACCTTGTGATGTAACTAATACTTCATCTACCTGGAGGATGGTCTCTTTCCACATGATGACGATACCCCCAAAGTGTTCCCACTGCTGGGAACTGGATATGCATGTCATATTGTAGGTCTTCCGCAAGCTTCTTGTGATCTGCCATCTTGGTCTCCAACAACACTAGCATGGCTGGTTTATGCATTTTGATCATCTCCGAGTAGTGTCTCCTGAACTCCACATTGTTTGCCCCCTAACATTCCATATTATGAAGTTCTTTAAGGGGTTTTGGGTTTGAGGGGGAAGCTCCTGCCGGTGTCGTGTCCTTTCCCTGGGTAGGCATCATTTCATTCCTCCTCGCTAATGGCATTTGAGATCTCATGACTGGAGTTTGGGTCAACAGTGATTATATCACCCCTGGCTTTGATGAGAAGACAGATTCAATCCATATCTGACAAGAGTTTTTGGACAGAGAAGAATCAGCGACTCGCTATAATCCATTCTGAATTCCACTGCCTATACTGTCTCTAGCCATAGGGAGTCCGTTCTCATAAGAGTTCTGGGGTTCCTTCTCCTTGGTGGTTTCCTAGATTTGAGTATCTCTAGAGCTTTCGTTATCTCTTTCGAGATATTCCCCAGTGGGGGTGATTGCTGTTTCTCTGGCGTTGAAGACGAACGGTCTTACTGAGACCATTGTTCCATCACTGAGAACTGGGGTGTCGCAGCTGGGTTTGGCACTGCTGGGTCTGGGAAGAAGGGAATCGTGTTGAAGATCTGATGCATGAGATTGTGTGCTGATTGCATGTCGTTGGTTGGCTGTAGCGGGTTGAAACTGATCTGTAGCACAATTGATTCACATAGCTGAGCTCCAAACGTCGCCAAACCCCTGTTTAGGGCTTCTATTGTAACCCTTTTCAGATGGGCCAGGTTTTGGATGACGAGAGTTATCGCCTGGTTTCCCAACTGAAAATTGTAGCATAGTCCCTGGCCGTGGAGAGAAATCTCCAGCTAAGATGCCGCTGTGTGGTCTTGTGGCGGAGGGATGGAAGTCAGAATGATTGGGGGTTTGGTGGGTTGATCCATTTTTGGCTTTTTTTTGTTTTCCTTTTTTTGGGCTGGTATTAATTAGGTAATTTTTGGGGTAATCAAGTGTCATGACTGATAATGGGGTTAAATCGACACCCATGCTGTGTATTTCGTAACTTGCATCTAATAAAGTGGATTTAGAATTAAATGAGGATCCGGTTGAGTTGTCGGAGAATGTCAAATCACCCGAGCTTTGGGGGTTTATCAAGAGTGAAACTTGAGTATCCATGGAGGGGTTTTTGCCAGAGTTATTTGGTAGGGGTGATGTAGCTCTGTAAGGGCCATCATTGGTAATGTAGATCGTGGAGTTGGTGTGGCCCTCTTTGGTAGATGTGGGTTTAGGGTTTTGGCGGGCCTCTTTTTGACGCTCTAATAGGCCTCTGCTTGGGCCCTTTGGGCCTGTTATTTTGCTACCCTGGGGCTGCTTTGATGGCCTCTTTTTAAGTTGTAGTCCCCGTGTCCTTGCTATGGGTTGAGTCTTCCCCCTCCGGTCCCGCTTCCTTTTCGTGCTTGTGTTGGGCCGCTCACTTGTGGGTTGATTCCTAGTGGGCTGGCTCGTGGGGAGGGAAGTATTTCCCTTGTTTCATGGTTTGAGTTGGTGTCCTGCATAGAGTTAGACTTAGAATTATAGCAGAAGGTTTTTGTTTCAAGGAACTTAGCGGAGTATGCATTAAACATTCGGACTTGGATTCGTTCCGTTGAATTGGTGCCTTTTCCCTTCTTTCTGTGGTTTGTTGTTGGTTGGCGTTGTGGTGGGGATGCCCCTACTTCCTTCTTCTAGGGAAGACAACAGTTTTTCACTCCTCTTCCTCATCGTCATTGACTTTAGTGGAGGAGCATTCAGGCTGGTTCATTGGTGGAGAAGGAGGCTTTTGCCTGTGGGTACACACTCTTAGGGTGTGTCCTATCCTCCCGCATCCTGTACATAGTATGTCTTCCCCTTCATATACCACCCTTTGCTTGTGGTCTCCAATGGTGACGGATGTTGCGACTGGTGTTTCCAGCGGGATTTGTATAGAAATTTTCGCATATCTTCCCCTTAGCGTAGCTGATTTGCACGTATCAACTTTGAAAAGTTTCTAGAGTTTCCTTCCAACTTTTTCCAATATCTCTTTGTCGTAGAATTCTATTGGCAGTTTTGGTAGTCGCACCCATATAGCAGTAAAGGATATGGTGGCTTCTTGTGGGACGAATTTTGGTTACCACCTTCTAATTTAGAGAAAATTTCTGGTTATGAACCATTGGCCTTGGTATATTGCCTTGATCAGGTTTTCCTTCTTTCTAAATTGGGCTATGAAGAAATCTTATCCTAGCTCAATCAAGATTAACTGTTCGGAGGGATTCCATAGTTCAATTAGTTTGGATCGGAGGAGATGATGTGGCATTCGTCTACCAAAAATTTCGATAATGATCGAGAAGCGTCATGGCTCATAAAGCCGGTTTTTATCATCTTGAGAGAGGATGATTGGGCGTAGGTTTTCCTTGCCCTTTACCTCTCATCCTGAATTATCAAGATCTATTGCGTTGTATTCCGTTTGGAAAGTATCTTTCTTCTCGAGAAGCATTTCCTTGTAAGACTGAACTGGGTTGGTATCCTCCTCCAGACTGAACTGGGTTGGTACCCAGAGGATGATTGGGTAAATTTTACAATGCATATAAAAAGTTTAAGAAAAAATTATTGAGTTCTGTTGATTTTGTTCTTATATGGTATATTTGCGGCGAATCAGTAGCTCCATACAAATAATTATAAGAGAACAAAAATGAAGAAAATGAAGCATGAAAATATTTCTCTATTATATTCTGAACTTATGTTCTTTAAGTTAGCAATATGTTCTTGAATTATTTTATTTTATTTTATTCATCCTTTGAAGTGAAAAAGTCGAATGAGGATGGTTTAAATAAATTAATAAAAAAAATATATGAAAATATAGTATTATGACACAAGAATAGAATTAAAGAATAAGAGGCAAGTAGTCCCACTTGAATATCATATTAAAGATTGTTAAACATAATTTTTGAAACGTCAGGTTTGTGTAATAATCAAAATTATAAGAGATATATATTGTGTTATAAGTCACAACCTCAATGAGGTATATGTAATTTCTTTTGCATTAATAATAGCTATTTGTTTAACCAAAAAACTGAATATTTGGTTAAAGCTAGAAATTAAGAGAGAAATCGGGTTACTGATAATCAAGAAATGAGAGACTTTGAGAACAACAATAAAGCAATGAATAAGTATATATTTCAGTATAATCTCAATGATATTTCGTGTCCTACAGATGTTGAGACCTTCCCCTTTTATAGTTAATTCTAGGAGAAAGTGTAATGCCTTTGTCTTAATGAGGCAATTATGAGCAATAAATGACATTAAAAGAAACGTTACTCAATCATTCCTATTAAATACAAATTCTCTCAACGTATTTGGCATTTAATGCTGAATTTAGACTCCTTTACGCTATCAGATTCATTTCTTCAATTCCTTCCGATCTTCGAGCTTTAAATGACTCGAACAGGTACGAGTCTCATTTCATTTGAATAATGGCTCGTGCCTTTAAGTATCTTCTCTCCCGCATCTGTTGTTGCTCGTGCCTTCTAACTGATTACCACACTTTGACTATTTGACCGGTCCACGTGTCATGATACGTCATCTTATATAAATTCAGTTTTTCCCAATACACGGATATTTAGGATGGTTACCTTTCTTTCTAATAGAGATTATGTAATAGAACTGAGTCATAATTATCCACTCCTAATCTTTACCTTATTTATGTTTTTAGCGATGCCTGTTACTACTAGACACAGGCGCAAGCTGCTAGCATGGGTCAGAAGGCTACGAAAGTGTTAGAAAGAGATATAAGTTATACTATGGAGTCAGACCCATCAGAGATCATGGTTTCTATTGAGGAGGATACATCCGAGGATCCATATGAGTTATCCGTTCGAGTTGGTTCGACCGCTCCGACAGCAGATAGGGTGAGAGGAGTTTCGACCTTACCAGGGCCCTTAGTTTCATTATCACCGCCCGTTGATCAGGATATGAGGGGGGTAGTGCATGGATTGGCACAACCGGGATTCCCTCAAGCTCAAAACTATGTCAGGGTATTTGCGGACACCAGCTCTTCTGAGGTTCCAAATAGTCCACAGTCTTGGGAGTCTGTCAATCAAGGTTCATCAGTGTACATTATGGGATATGCAGAGGAAGAGGATAGTAGTCGGGCCAAGAGGAGGAAGGTAACTGATAAGGATATGAAGATTCTGCTTCGAAGTGTATCTGATCGAGGCTCTCATATAGGACGAGGCAAGGACCCTCTATTGTAGACTTCCTCCAGTTGTCAGCTTTTGGTTGGTGA